ACACCGTCAATCCATCCAGCTCATCCACACATCACAGCTCTGTTTGCAACAAAGGAAGCAGCCACTGCTATACATTCCTCTCCCTATAGCTGCAGAGACATAAGCAGTAATAGCAGCGCGGCGAATACTTTCTCCACAAGTAGACACAATGGCAAAAAAATACATTACAAGACGACGACAACATTCATCTGCATTGTTGTTCGGTGTCAAAAGTGAGGAGGCAATTGGGGATCCTTCAGCTAAGACGAGGCAACGGCACAAGCTGTTATTGGCAGGGAACAGATGTTTGAGGGAAAGTTGGCATTCAACAACCATTCTTCTTCTGACAGAAATCAACAAGAGAAACACAAGAGACAAGCCGTGATTGTCACCCAATGAAAGAGAAACCCTTAAATATACAGCGAGGCTGGCATGCAAACATTTTTAGATTTTACACCCCCAAAACCTCTGACTGCCGGAGTTGCCAGCGTTCACGGACCAAGGGTGAAGCGCGGCGTCTACGACTTCCACAGCATTAGCACGCTTTTCCCTATATTAGAACACTAAGTTGTAGTAACGAGAAAAAAAAGATGGAGTTGTGTTCCCGGAGAGAGAAAAAATAAATCTAGCAGCTCCGATCCCTCTGCTCAAAAACACAGACACATGCTCGTTGCACATAGTGTACATGCTCCGATGTATACACAAGCAAACACACACAAATTCAGATACAGGATGTTGGCAGACAATTCAGTAAACACTCCCCTTATCCCTTACTACTGTAATCTGCCTCTGATAAATGCCCCTCAAAGATAGAAATGTCACCTGATATGGTAAACAGTATGCTGACATTACATAAAGTGGCCTTATGCTAAGGAGTTGGAGAGATTAACTGTGGAGCGGAGATGGGAGAAAATGGTCTCCACGATAAAAAAAACAGACTTCTAGCTCCTCGCAGAGAACGCTGTTTGGCTGTCATTCAACTCTAAACTGACTAGCAGGGAAACGCAGGGGGGCTAATTATAATAATCCGAGGGTTGTGTGTATGTTGTGTTCTATTTAAGGTACCTCAGTGTAAACAGGAGCAGTAAATAATTGGCTGCAATTAGTATTTATATTTTTAACGATTAAACTTTTGATCATTTTCTACATAAATGCCAGAAAATATTGAAAAATGTCCAGTTTCAAAAGATCCAAGCTGATGTTTTGTTTTTACAGTAAAATATAAAATATATATTTATTCCATTATGCTATGAATACAAAAAGGAAGGTCATCTCAATGCTTGAGATACTAAAAAAGTGAATTAACTATTAATCAATTCTCACAATTTATAATTACAAATAAAAGAACCTCAGTTAGCAATGTTTCCATCAAAGGCCTAAAGATCGGATATATAACAAATGTAAAAACAATGCACAAAACAGGTCATATTTACCAAAGCATCCCTAGGCCTGTTCCAGCTTTAACCACAGGTCATTATGGGTCAAAACTAAACATTTGTGTAACTGCAGTGGAGCAGCAGCAACAGATCTCTATCACATGAGAGGACAAGTCATTTGGACAGTGTGACACGGTGCTGAGCTCAGGGGACTTGTGCACTAGCCGCTCGGGTGCTGTTCAAACTTACAGTAACAGAGCAGCATAATCACTACAGTACGCTGCCTGATGGTGGGTGGACAGTGTGGAGTAAGAAAAGGAAGCAACATGAATTCTCAGAGGGTCCATACGGAGAAGACAACAGTAAAGGGGAGAGCACTAAGTCAGTTTAATAAGCACATTTGACATTAGACGTCCGCACATGGCCTCAGAGGGCCGCTTCGATATGTTCCCATAAACACTGGCGGAGGCACACTCCCTACATCATCCAGATTCCCCTTTATGCCGCGGAACTTTGGGGGGCAATTTTACAGAAAAATTACTCTGAGGGGCCTGGTTTCAATTCAGCCATGTTCATATCTTCCCTTCCTATTAAGCATCAAAATGTTCTCCTCTCAGTGCGAATAGAGGTATGGACACCAGCAGCAGCAGCAGCGAGGGAAGAGGTGGGGGGGGGGCGGGCGGGTTGAAGGGAGGGAGGGGAAGGAGGGAGGGTGAGAAGAGAGGAGAGAGGGAGCTTGGTGGAATTCACACATCATATTACAGCAGCTAATCGCAATCCGCAGAGCATCAGCGATATTTTCATCATTCCTGTCAAATTCTACTGACCCGCCTTGGAACAGCTAACAATCTGGGCAATTTATTGGCATATTGGCACGGGGTGATAAGGCTAAAAACAACAGCAGCTAGCAGCTGGCCCTGCGAGATGAGCTGATAACATTGATATGTGCTCCCACACAAAACACCTCCAACCGCTATCTGCTCTTTCTATCTAACTCTTATTACAATAAAAGTGTATGGCTTTTTTTTCCTTTCTTGGAAAAGCAACAAGGAAGAGGGGGGTTTACAGAGAAAAGGGGGTCAGAAATATATATTTATATCTATATAAAAAAATCAGATGTAACGTTTCAGGGGAAAAAAACAAGGGGGGAAAATACATAATTTATCACTGTATTATCGGGATATCCAGGCAGCCTAATCAAGGAGCACTGAGTGACTATTTTTTGCCTTATCATCCAAAGTGGTGGAAACGGAGAAGGAATTATCAGCCAGCTGCAGATTGCTGGGCTGGAATTTTAATGGTAATAATCGGGTTTCTGATGGTATATCTCCCTGCTTATCTTTCCCATTATCTGGCCTTATCTCCCCAGTCATCGGAGCAAATTAATGGTGCTCTTTCAGCATCGCCTTTTTATCACCGCTCAGAGAGCACCCAAGGGGAAAGAATAAGCAAAATATTAAAATACTGCATAAATCACAATTTTAGATAACAGTCCAATGTATGCAGGAGGCGAGGGGGGGGTGGGTGGGAGTGCGCCCAACAACCTTTTTGTCCTTTAGAATGACTGTCTGTGCCTGACTTTCTGTGCACTGCCTCCCCTGCCTTTTTTCCCCAGAGTTCCCGGGGTAGGAGAGAGGATCTAGGCTCCAAGTGACCTTTTCTGTTTCTAACTAGAGCTTGATTATACCACTGCACAGCGGCTCCATATTAACAAGATCTTACACATGACATACTAATTCACACAAGGCCAGGTCACGAAGCACCACACAAACGTTAGACGCTCTTTTTGCTCGACGACAAAATTCGGATGCTACGATGGGATTGGTCCAGAGATGAGTGGGCCAATCACGTCATACGTCGTCGTGCTTCTTTGTTGACTTAAAGTGGTTGCAGGTTTGTGGTGGATGCCAACAAATACATAAGTACAAACTCAAAGATAATTAATAAAAAAGGATGATTCTGAAAAATATATTTTTCCATATAGAGTTTATGGCAATCAAAGTGTGCTAACTGTATGAAATGAGTGCAAAACGATTTTTTTTTCTGAAAAATTATCAAAAATAAACCCGTTTTCACATAATATTAATAAATACAATGCTAAATTGGATTATCTTAAAATTGAATATGTATAAATAAAAGATACTGTTGAAAACTATTTAAAACACTCATACATCCTAATTGTGTTACCAGAAAGGCAACAACAAATTATAAATTCCAAACCATATTGCCCTAAAAACTTAAAAAATGTTATCCCCAAAAATATTTCAAAACTGAAACCATAATACAGTAATTAGAACAAAACACGACGACACACACAAACATGTCTTGTGTCACAGAATCGTTCACACACAAATGTATTAAAACAGATATTGTATACTAACATGCACATGCCCTCATGGATTCATGCATGTGACCTCACACACACATGCAAACACACCCACCCACACACACACACACACACACACACACACATACACACACACACACACATACAAATGTTGCCTTAGTTCGGAATTCTCCATAATATCTCGAAGCAGAAACACAGTATCCTGGGTGCGACACACATCAGTGGAAGTGGTTTGATATTTGGATCCCAAAGTAACCAGTCTGCTTTTTAGACAGGACAGCAGCAGACAGGAGTAACAGCAGACACACACACACTGTACACACACTGTACACACACTCTGTCTGCTGGAGTGTGTTTGGGTATATGGGTGTGTGTGTGTGTAACAATCACTACGTATTTAAGGATGCTCTACAGGCCCTTTAAAATCAATAAAATGATGAAAAGTTCTTAATACAAATATAAAATATGTTGACAATAATTCAGAAATGTGAAAGTGACACACTTTTTGTTTTATTTGCACCATAATGTTTTACTGTATTAATATTCCCAGCATTCAAAACAATATTCCCCCTAATTCCAAGTTTCATTTAAACTACATTTAAAATATTAAATATGTGTAAATCAGAATCAGAATAAAAACATGCTGTTAAGAGCAATTATAAAGTTCAGTTGCAATTATAGAGTTCAGTTGAATTGAAATTATAATATTGTATACCTTGCTACACTTTGACTGCCATACTAAGCTACAGCCAATAAAGACTTTACTGTGGAGTTTGTATAGCAGTGTGTGCACACGTATTCATGCAAAGACACCATGTGCAAGTAAACAACATGATGGAGTGTGTGTGACACGAGTGTGTCTACAAATAAAACATTTCATAGCAATGCAATTCAAAAGCAAATCGGCCTTTTAAAGCAATAACGTGGTACACTTCCAGGATGTAATAAGGCCTGGAATTAAGAATGGTGATTAATAAAGAGTCAAAGTGGCTGATAGACCATTTTGGATGAAAACTACAATAGTCCAATCAAACGGACAACAAATTAACTTGATTTTGCTACAACTTGGAAACTTTTCCTCCGGCAGCACGGTGGGATTTGGATTGTAAATCATCTTTTTGAAACACAAACCTATCTGCGGAGGGACGGAGCTGGACCGTGACAGGCAACACATGAGGGGCTGCTGAATCAGCTCCTCTGCGGTCACTATCACCACACAACCCCGCAAACTCTGGGAAAGCTCGGAGACGCGGAGCAGCGGCTCAAACAAATGAAATAAAGGACACAAATAAACTTACGTCTGATCTGCCTGGGGTTGCTCTGCTTCCTTCGGGACATGCCTGCTGTGCGGCTGGTCAGTGAATCCAGGTGTAGTACTGACAGATCGATAGGTTCTGGTTCATCCAAGCAGCCGGTTTTGGGTTTTTGTCTGATGGTAAATTGAGAAAGAAAAAGAAGAAGAAGGGGGGACTTTTTTTACGCACAAGTCTATCGTTCCGTCTGTCTTTCCTTTATCTTTCTCGTTTCTCTGGCTCTGGCTGTGGCTTTCTCTCCCTCACACACACACGAATACACACCCTCCTTTGCTCTCTCTCTCTCTCTTGCTCTCTCCCTCTCTCACTCTTTCTCAGCACCGTGCTCCGTGATGAGGCTGCGCTTCGCCGCGATCCGCACGGACTGACTGGGGAGGTGAAAGCATTTCGCGCTTTTGTTTGAAGATAAGGTTTGTTCCTCCCCGGGTACCGTAGCCGCAGCTCGGTGAACTTCACTTGATCCACAATTACTTTAAACTTCCCACCTATTAATTAGCGTCGGCCTTAATTAGCGCGCGTGTTTTGGGGGAAATATAAACGGAGATGGAGACACACTGAGCTCCAGCCCGGGATCAACATGAGCCATCGCAGTCACAATAAAAACAAAAACATCATATTTTAAGATGCCTTTTCTCGGGTAAACATTTTCTCACACCTCTCATTAGTAGGTTTAAAATCATCAATATGATTAATTTAACATTAATATTTTACCAATCATGCGACAAAGCAGGTGTTTATGGGATAATTTAATGCAGCATGTGGTTCTATCAGCAGCTAATCTGAACCTTTAATGACTGAATACTCCAGGAATAGCTCAGTTGCAGCCTGGCCACTCATTCCCCCATAATGCACTCTGATCTGGCTTGAGATCCCATGACCCAAGTTATTTGACCTCTTGGCCAAAAACTGAAACAAGTAATTTACAATCTAATATTTGTATAGCACACACAGCAAGTTTATAAAAGACTGGTGCATTTTTTTGTACTTTTGTTTATTTATTATTTTTAAGGAAATGTATGTAATACAAACCAATGCAACACACGGCAGGATTTACAACATAAGCTAATTTACAATCCCCTATATGGGCCTTAATCAATAAAACTCAGAAAATACAGTAAAACACAATCTCAACAATAATAATACGTACCAAAAACACACAAATGCAGAATACAACACAAAAACACACATAAAACAATTAAATTAAGCACCATAAAACAAGAAACACTAGATCATTCATATCTGAGCTGTCTTTAAACGCTATTTCAATTTGAGTGTAACATGCTGTTGAGTGAATGAGTTCTGTAGGCCTATGTACTGTAGGGAATTCCACATTTTGAGCAGCAAAAGTAGTGTGTCCACATTTGGAGTTACTTAAAGCATCTTACCTCAATATTTATACCAAAACATTTGTACACTTGCTGTCAAATATATTCAGTGGATTTACAGCTTGTTAATGCCTTGTTTATTCATGAATATTTGATAAACTGTCAATCATAGCATTGCCTACAATTAGCCTGCCTATGGACAGAGAAAAATATTCAGAATATTTAAAGCAGGAGAGAGAGAGGAAAGGAGAGGCTTGAAATCATTCAGATTTTGACTGCCATGTTCTGAATAGTTGCCCAAACTGGAAATCACTCTCTTCAATTAGCCAGTTGGACTGCCAAGGAAGACAAGCAAGTGGCCTGTGAAATTATCTTGTAACCCAATTCCACAACTTTGGAATGGAGTCTGAAACTACAGAATAATTTATGTGGCAGGCGGGTCAGCGGCGGTTCACCTTGAGGAGAGCATCTGTCTCGCGAGCCTCCTTGGTTTGTATCTTCCTGCACCCCCCACCCCCCCAACCCCCCCTCTCCTCCTGTGGCTGAAGTTTTTTCTTTCTTCTCCACATACTTTTTCAGGATCCAAACACAATTGATGTCATGGGACAGTGAGTCATTTCATATCTCAGCTTTGTCATAAATCCTCACCAAATCTGTGTTACTCTTTTTTAAGCCAGCTTTATTACAACGTATTAACACATGTTTTATTTATCTTATCATGTATGGTCAATAAACCCCATTTATGCAGAATGAAACCCTATTTTGAGGTAAAAAATGCACCATAAAAATATTATTTTGACTGCAATTAAGATCAGAGGAACATATTTTGATTTATGTATCTCAAAGTTTAGTCAGGATTCTATTTTGAAACTATTTCAAATTTTAATGGCAGCACATTACAATACCAGATGCTATATATTTAAATAAAACACGATGAATAAAACATAATTCAATGAAAGTAGTGAAGTATGAAATGATTCAAGTTGTTTTCGTGGCACCAAGATTAAATCACACCTTAATTCTGACAGAAAAACATTTAGAAATGGGTCAAAACGGACCCAAGGATGACAGGAAGGATGTATTGATAGACAAATAGTGATAAATGTGAGAATAAGACAATTAAAAAAGGTTTATTTTTTTTACTTTTCTGTCAAATTAATCCAAAAAAATCCCCAAATCAAAAAGAAGTAAGTTTAAATTAGTAAACTGTCTTACACATCCTTGAAAATAACATCCTTAAATAGCATACTGGCCAATTTAGGGAACCCAGCACCAAAATCAATAATGATTTGTGGTAAGAGCAACAACACAGTGAGAGAGGGAGAGTCAAATTGCCAGCTGAAGATTAATTTAACGCCACTCCTAAATCCTCTGAGACTGCAGCGAGGTTCTTCTCTGCTGTTCCTCAGCCCCAGTGGCTTGTTTGAAGCTGTCTTTGATTGACAGGTACAAATCTGCGAGAGGAACAGAAAGCTTTTTTTCACTGCTCAGACCAGATGGTTGTGATAATTAACATGATACTGTTTCCATCGCAGGGGAAATCACTGACACAAGGTTGGTCATATTAATAGGTTAAGGTATACTGTATGCTGTGGAGATGCTGCACAGTGCACTCGCTTAATCTGATTACAGGGGGAAAGGTTGATTTAGTGCGCTAAATCATTTGATTAGAACTGCCAAGTCACATTTGGGGAACGCCGTTCAGGGTCGGGGCGTGGAGGTGGGCTGTCTGGTGGCTTCATCATGTTCATACTTAAAGAAAATATGCTTCAGAAGAAAGTGTGTTACCTCGTTGGTATGCCCAATACTGCTCTTACTGAAGACAGCACCAACTGGGTCTCATTCAGAGCCTGACAATATTTTGTGAGAGTGACATGTTGATATTAAATAATAGATACAGCTTTTTTTAAATGATGTGTTTACTGACAGCTCTGTCTCAAACAATGGCATGTTTCAGAAGTGAATGAATAACATGTTTTCTTCAGTTTTACCTATGTTTTACTGGTCATTTTAAAAGGTACATTCATAATTTGTATAAATAAACATGTTGTTGTACCCTTATCTTCGTGCAGAAACTCATATTTAACACATTTGTTAACATTATATAGTAAGGGACTGTGCAAAAAACATTTTGATAACATAAGTATAGCTAAAGCCTATTTTTATATGCATGACCTACCATAGCCTAATTAATATTTTATTTGCACCCTCCACTTACGTCCCAAAAATGCAACACTATTCCGAACAGTATCTCAAAATATGAGAATATTCCATTGGAACAACTCACTTTGGCGTTATACAGTAGTGAGAGTATTTAAGATGTTCAGCATTATTAGACAGTTATATGTTTTTCTAATGGGAGTGGAATTACCAGAATGAAGGGAATCATAGATAAATGAGATGTTCTATTTTATTGAATTTCCCAGAATATGTTTTTTTTTTAAAAACATGAGTAGTCACTGTCTTTTGGTATAACACATTTAACAAAATAATTAACTGTACTTCTGCTTTTAGTGTTGATTTACTTTTTGCCAATTTAACGTTGAATAACAAATGAATAGCAATTTTGAATTTTTTGTGAAGAAAAATAACCTCTGAATAACCTCTCAATGTTGTCAAAAACACAACACACACCTTTAATGACTGGCGGGCATAGAACACCTTTTTGATGAAGATATTTCACTTTTTTTTTCTTCTCAAAGAGGAATCAAATAAATCGAGGAAAAGTCAAAAGGCCCTCTCCTATTCCCTTGAAACATCTTGGGTGCAAAATGGATCCCTCCCACTTTCTGACCCCCACTCGTCTTATACTTATTTTCCAACAGATCCTAAATCACATGTTTTTGCATTGCAACAAAGTCACAACATTAATGCAACGTCTTAAATGATCATCCTGTGCAGTAACTTCCCCAGGTGTTCCCAAACGTTGTCATGCCAGCATTAATTTAACAACCATCCTAAACTGAATTACTGCCATAATAACGGCTGCAGTCTGTTTCAGTGAGCTGCTGTGGAGACCGGGTGATGTCACAAGGAGCCTGGCAGGACAAATCACAGGTTTGATTTGTATAAGGGGTCATACATGTCCGGTGGCGCTGCGAGTGACAGCCATCGCTCGGACGGGGCTCCATCCTGAAGGAGCAGCAGCAGAGAGAGGCTGCTGCTGCTGGGGTAGCACCCTCTGGCTGCTGGGGACTGGTGTGTCTCCAGAGGGTGTAAGGACTGTGTGTGTGTGTGTGTGTGTGTGTGTGTGTGTGTGTGTGTGTGTGTGTGTGTGTGTGTGTGTGTGAGAGAGAGAGAGAGAGAAAAGAGAGAGAGAGAAACAGGAAGTTGTTCAGAGGCAAAGTAAAGCTGCAAAGTCTTTTTGTACAGTATCCCATAATTCTTTGCAATTGGGTGTATAATGTTTCCTTTAATGCCATGCTAATCAGTGGTCGAGATGACATTTTAGTACGTTTATTTTACAAATGTAATTAAGTCAAAGTCAAGTCAAAGTTAGCTTTAATGTCAATCTTTCAGTTTGTGTGTACAGACAGAGGTATTTTGGTTTGTTTAGAGTATTTCCATTTCCTGCTAATTTACACCTCTACTTCCCTTCAATGTAGAAGCACTTACATCCTATATTTGATAACATTTGACGATTTGGTTTCAGATAAATAATACATAATAAAATCATGAGAAATGTATAATGTATTTTTTCTAGTTCATGATAAACATATTTGAACCCTTGGGGAAATTCACAAGCAGGCAATAATATATTATAAGCATTGAAGTAAAAGAAACTAAAACAATAATGCATCAATAATTACAGTGAATTCATATAAAAAATATTGTTGTTAAATAGGCCCTAGTGTAAAATGAGTTTTAATTTTGGTACTTTGCGCAAATTAGATGATAATACCTTTACTTACTAATAATTATACTTGTTACAGTGTCAAATTACTACCAGTAAACTACTTGTACATCATCCACCTTTAATACCAAGAGACATCCACAATTTGAAGATCCTGTTTAACTTATAGCAAGAAA